AAAAGTTCAATCGAAGCATACGGTTAGGAAATTGAAGACAACTGGTGAATGCGAGTGTTATAGTGAAGAAGATGGCCTCCGATTCCAAACAAAGTAAGTATTTAACAGTTTATTTACATTATAATGGTTTATTCGCACCAAAACCATTAGTGTACTTGAACGCTGTTGTTGTTTCAATCTGTGATGTCGATTTTGGTGCAATGGATTTCAAAGACTTTAACTTGTTCATTGCAAAGTTGATTGAAGGCAGTTGTGATAATGTATATTATTGCACTAGAAATGAACCATTGGCAGAGGGTATTAGGAGAATTCGAATGATGCTGACTACTTTGAGTTTATTGAAACGGGTTATAGTGATGAAGCCGGTCTAAGAATGAATGTGTATATAGACCACGAAAATGAACCTGTACTTGATTGGGCTGATGATGAAGGGCATTATTTCGACGAAGACCTGGATGATGATAAAGATTCACAACTTTCTGATGATATTCCATATGAGCATGAAGCAGATGATTACATTCCTTCTCTTGACAAGACTATTGGTGATGAATTCTTACATCGGGTGTCAGGTATGTGTAAGGATATAAATGATGAGGCTGAAACTGATGAGGTTGAAACCAAGAATGGAGATGACAAACCAGTGTACCCTGTCCATAATGAGAACCAGAAATGGGACAAAATGGTGCCAATTCTAGGTATGAGATTCTCTAACCCCATGGAATTGAAAAATTGTTTGACTAACTATGCAGTGAAGAATGGGTACAACCTTTATTTTGAGAAAAATGATAGTCAGAGGTTATTAGTGAGATGTTGTAAAGAGAACAAGAACCCCTCTTGTCCTTTTAGACTGTGGGCTTCCTGGATGAGCAGTGAAAGGTCTTTCCAAATTAAGTCATTAGTTGATGAACATAACTGTTCAAGAGTCTTCAAACTTGGTTCATTGTAACATATAAATGGATTGGAATGCATTTTAAGAATCAACTTCTGAAGAACCCTAAAATGAGCATAAGGAAAATGAAGGCCAAAGTGAGTGCAAAGTTTAACTTGATTGTTAGTGTCACTCAATGTAGAAATGCTAGGAGATATGCTTTGGATGAGATAGAGGGTAGTTTGATAGAACATTATGGTAAAGTATGGAGTTATGGAGAAGAAATAATGAGGACAAATCCTGGTTCAACAGTAAAGATAGATGTGAATGTCATGCCTGATTCCACAACCTACTTTTCTAAAATGTATGTTTGTTTTAAGGGTGTGAAGGATGGTTGGATTGCAGCATGTAGGAGGGTAATAGGGGTAGATGGTTGTTTTTTAAAGGGTATATGTAGAGGCCAACTGTTAGCAGCTATGGGTAGGGATGCAAACAACCACATCTTCCCTATTGCATGGGCTGTGGTGGAAGTTGAAAATAAGGAAACATGGAAGTGGTTTCTTGACCTCCTTCTGGATGACATTGAAATGGGAATTGGTCATGGATTGACCCTCATATCAGACCAACACAAGGTATATTTCTGTTTTGTTTTGTTTAAGTTGAATGTTTTTGTTATGTCATCTATTTCATGCTTTCTTTCAGGGATTAATAGAGGCTGTCAAAGAAAGGGTTCCAGCAGCAGAGCATAGACAATGTGCTAGGCACATCTATGCTAACTTCAAGAAAAGTTTCAAAGGTGAACAATATAGGAAGTTGTTTTGGGCAGCAGCTGCTAGTACTACTCAACCAAAATTTGAGGCAGAAATGAATTCCATAAAAAAAATTGATCCTTTGGCTTATGAACACCTCATGGAAAGGGACCCTAAAAGTTGGTGCAGGGCATTCTTTGAAGTGGACAGGGCTTGTGATGCTTATGAGAATGGCATATCAGAAAGTTTCAACTCTGTTATTGATCTTGCTAGGAAAAGGCCACTCATCACCATGTTGGAAGAGATAAGGATTTATGCAATGGAGAGGATGTATAAAATGTTGCAAGAGGGACAAAGTTGGGGGAATTTAAAAATATGTCCATCTATAAGGTTGAAGATATCAAAGCTAAAGAAACAGCAAAGGTATGATATAACTTCTATTTTATAAATATTATATGTCTCATCTATAAGATTAATAGAACTTCTTATTTTTTTGGGCAGATTTTGGGGTGTTATACCATCTGGGATACAACAATATGAAGTTAGGATTGGAAATGATGGATATGCTGTGGACCTTAACAACAACACATGTGGATGTAGATCTTGGCAAGTATCAGGTATCCCATGTGTGCATGCAGTGGCAGCCATTTCATACCTTAATAGGAATGCAGAGGATTATGTTGCACCATGGTTCCATACAGCCATGTTCTTGACTTGTTACAACCATACCATTAACCCACTTAATGGTAGTTCCATGTGGCCTGAAGCTCCCTACATGAAGCCATTGCCTCCTCAAAAAAGAAGGTTACCAGGAAGGCCAACCCTTAAAAGGAAAAAAGATCAATCTGAGATGGAAAGCAAGGGGAAAACAAGGCATACTATCTCAAAAGCAGGTTCAGTTAATAGATGCAGTATTTGTAGAGAAAGGGGCCACAATAGATCAACATGTCCTACTAGACTAGCAGATGTAGCATCCACTTCAAGGCCAAAAAACAAGAAACCTAAAAAATGTAAAAAAGAGAAAGGTATGCTATTAAAACAATATAATTTAAATGGAACATCCAACTCATTAGCTACATATTTGTATAGCAGGTAAAGTGGAACCAGTTCAAGTGGATCCAGTTCAAGCAGATCTAGTGGATCCAGTTCAAGTACCAGCTCCACAGGTTGATCCAGTTCAAGCAGATCCAGTGGATCCAGTTGATGATCCACATCCAGATGTTGATGTCCCTGCTCAACCAGTTGCAACTAGGCAGAGGATACGAAAATACTCAGAAAGAATTACCAAGATAGGGTTGAGGAGGAAGGTTTTGAAGAAAGAAGGAAGCACTGGACACAACCCAATGGTGTTGGAATGATTTTATTTGGAAAGACAAACTTTTAGTCTTATAAATATGTAATTGGGATATTAGGACAACTGTGGGCACATGGCACATCTTTTGACATATTAGGACAACTGTGGGCACAACTTTTGTAATAGTGCACATGATGATGGAATATTACAACTTTGTCTTTTATCTATATGCTTTGGTGTACGGTTATTTGCATATAGATTGTTTAATCTTATATTATCTATCATAAATCAAGTAAATTTAGTATTACTACATTAAGCAAAGTTTGGTGTTGTTGTTGTTGTTAATCTGGACCATATTACCCTTGGATCACATCACATTAACAATTGATTACTGCCAAATTTAATATGGACCATTTTACCCTTGGATCACATCAAGACATTAACAATTGATTAATGCCAAGATTTAGTCTTGATACATTAAGAAATGTTTGATGTATCCAATGTGGTTAATCTGGACCATTTTACCCTTGGATCACATCAACACAATAACAATTGATTACTGCCAAATTTAATCTGGACCATTTTACCCTTGGATCACATCAACACATTAACAATTGATTAATGCCAAGATTTAGTCTTAATACATTAAGAAATGTTTGATGTATCCAATGTGGTTATTCTGGACCATTTTACCATTGGATCACATCAACACAATAACAATTGACTGCCAAATTTAATCTGGACCATATTACCCATGCATCATGTCCAATTCATTAACCTTTTAAACATATTAATACTTCTTGGAAAGCACTCAAAACATCAAACTATCATTAATCAAAAAGATTTAGTCATAATACATCAAACAAATTACAACATTAAGGATTACATTTAGTCTTTGAATACAGCTAAACTAAGGGTTAAATTAAGGGCTAAACTACTTCTTAAACACAAACAACAGAAACAACACAATCATCACAACTTTATGAGTAAATAGCTTCCATTTGAGTTTTTCAAACTCTTGTCTAACAACCAAATTTTCTTGTTCCATCTTCATCTTACATATGCTGATCTCGTTTTCCAATATAGAAACTTTGAGGGTTAAATTGCACGATTCTTTTTTGTCCTTCCCAGAATTGACTTCATTTTCGGGGGTTTCAGGCTCCAACCATTCCCAGAACTTGCATTTTGGTCCTTCATTCTTGAAAAAAGTAACAAATTGGCTGAAAGAAAGAAGATAAAACGAAAAGTAAAAAACAATTGCTTTACCATGGAGTTAGGGCACAATCTGAATTTTTTTCCTGGATTGTCTTTAGTTCGTGAAGTTCGTACACGAGATGGTAACCCACAGTAACAAGGATTTTCAGGTTGAAATTCAACATTTCGTTTGGAAGAAATAGAAGAAGAAGAAGAAGACATGTCGATCTAGGGCAAGAACGGGCAAGAAGATGCAGTACTTAACTTTGCAATTAATAAGCCCAGTTTATGGCACATAATGCCACGTAATATCCACATCACTAGTAACCTACAACAACCGGTATCAAGGGCTTTGGTGAACAGGGATTACAAGTTCAATGGTATAATAAAGACAAAAAAAAGATAAGGGACCTAATGAATACAAGACGAATACTTTATTACCTCAAAGGTCATTTTCCCGGTATATAACCACCGAAAACATCCCCAAACCTTCGTTCGTCGTCTCTGACTCTCTGAGTGGCGAAATTCGTCGTCTCTGTTTTCATCTCTTCCGGTCTGTGGACGTTGCCGGTAAGTCTTCGTTGGCTCTTACATTAACGCACTGACATTTGACAGTCTGATCACAACTTCATATCAATTAGGGTTTGCGATTTCGTTAGTTTCACCACTCTGAATTTTGTCATTTTTTATTAGGTTAGGGTTTGCTAATTTGCTGTCACTTAATCTATGTGATTGCATAAGTTTTCTTTGTTAAGCGAGTTTCGCTTTGAAATTTTTGATGTCCAAGCATATCACTTCTTATGCTGAATCAATGCGGGTTCTGTTTCTAATTTACCCCCAATAAATTTTAGTTTGTAGCATCAGTTATGAAGTTTGATGTACTTGATTGCCCCCAAAAGTTCAAAATCTACAAACTGTAAATGTGGGGAATCCGCGAATTCGAATACCCTTTTTGATTTTATTCTTTTGCATTAACCTAGAGAACTTTCTTTCATCTTCGTGTGCCCTGGGTGTAAGGGTGGATGAGCTAGTAACTTTAGACTTCAATTTAGTGGACAGTTTATACATCTTGGTTCTTAGAAGGATTAAAACTTGTTCATTCAAAAACGTGGTTTTTTAGATGAAACTGCAACCACTTTTCATTCTAGGACCAAAGTTTGTAACATTTAAACTGCAACATGTTAATGTATTAAAACATCAGTTTAATCTCATGTCATACTTGTAATCACCCTTGCTCAGTTTTGTTAAATCTTTCATCCTGCAGTTGCAAAAGCATCTTTTTGTCATCATTTCTATTTGTTAAAAACTTTTGAAGGCACATAAAGATGCTTCAAATCAGGCTAAGCAACAAAGCTGCAACTTCAGAAAGTGGTGGAGGAGCAAAGCTTCCATCAGGGGAGACAGTGACAGTTGCATGCCCTGACCACCTTGTTCTTGCTGAGCTTCCAGTGGCCAAGAGCCTCGGTTCTACTAGCGGTGTTACTCTTGTGAAGACGGTTGGGCGTAGGTCCCGCCGCCACCTCGGTGAACGTGTCCATTTTTGTGTTCAATGCGACTTCCCCATTGCCATTTATGGACGCTTGGTATGTTACATGTTATATATATATTCCACCTTCTCCTTTCCTTTCAGTATTTTCTATGATGGAATCGTTGATTCCGTTGGAATCACCTGATGGAATGGAATAGAGTATAGACTTTTCTTTAACAGGTTTGTGGTTGTTGCAGATTCCTTGTGAGCATGCATTCTGTCTGGATTGTGCTAGGAGTGACTCTATATGTTATCTGTAAGTAGAATGTCTTAATAAGAGAAAAAAAAAATAGACAACCAATAAATCAGTAAATCACTAATGAGATTTTTTTGGGGTGATAATAGGTGTGATGAACGTATACAGAAGATCCAAACAATTAAAATGATGGAAGGAATCTTGATATGTGCAGCTCCACATTGTCTAAAATCCTTTCTTAAAAAAACCGATTTCGAGGCTCACGTATACGCGATCCATTCCGATCTCATCAACTCAAATACTCAAAAGGAAGTCAACAACGAATCCGAACCACCCCGAAAACCAACCACTTCCGACTCAACGGTTCAAGCCCCGACCCCAAGACCGGTCCAAGACGGGCTCCAACCACCACCCATGGTTCCGGTTCCGGTTCCGGTTCGACCGCTCATGAACCCTAAACCCAACCCACAACCACCAATGGACACCAGACCCCACGGGTTCGATGGACCACCTTATGAATACCCAATGAATATGGGGATGAGTATGCCTCCTAATTTTGTGGTCCCGGTCAATGTAATGGGTGGTGGGCCTGCTTCGTTTGGTCAACCGATGTATGTGGGCCCCGCGGAAACGGGTCCTTGGAATGGGGCACCGTTTGATCCTTCTATGATGATGAATCAAGGTGGTGGTGGTGGTGGAGTTGGTTTTTTTCAGGGAGGTTTATTGCAAGGGGGGAATGGTGTTGGTGTTGGTGTTGGTAATGATTTGAGGGATGGAAGGGGGATATTGCCGCCACCACCGCCGCCGTTTGTGGGTGGTGGTTACTTTGGTGGTGGTGGTGGTGATATGGGGCAACAACATGGACAGGGTCAGGGGTACGGGTGGCAACAAGAGAAGCGTGATGCTTTTAATGGAGGTCAAGATTAGTTTAGAATTTACAATTCATATATCTTCTTGTTTGCTACTTTTGGTTTATATCTTGTTGTTTAAACTTTAAACTGATTTTTTTAATCTTTGGCTTAACCGACTCACCGTTTTTTAGGTGTTTTTAGCTTCAAAATGAACGTTTTTACAAGGATTTCATAACAATTTTGAGTCTGATATCATCTGTTTAATCCTCAAGTGAACATATACACAAGATGTAATCACACAAAAAACATTTATCAACAAGAATATGACTAGAAAAAGAAGTTTGACATTAATGAACACGATAATTCAACAACTCAATACACAAATGGGATTACAGCCTTCCTCCCTTTGGGATAATCTTCACCAAATTTCTCCATATACCACTTGTGATTCGCACGTGCCCTTGGCACCAAGTTGGCACAAGTGTATACGAAAAACCCTAACCCGACCCATGACCCGGTCATCAATCCCCAACCCAACCACTCTACTATCTCACCGGAGTAATTTGGGCAGCTCACAAGTTCAAAGAAACCGCCTCTCGGAATCTTATACCCACCGCCGGCACTCTTCAATTTCATCAATTCCATATCTGATTTCACATTCACCGCCATACCACCCAAGAAAACCGCCAATCCAACGCAAAATCGCCACCAGAACCACTCATCGGCCCGGTAATCTGCGTATTCAGACACCCATCTGGTCTGCAAGTAAGAATTGAAGAGGTTGAAGGTGAAGGCCATGAGAGCGACACTGATCGGATACCCATTTGAGAGTTTGCGGCGGAGGCGGAGAGGGTAGATGATAGTGCGGTGGAAGTAGTGAAAGATGAAAGGTGTAATGAGGATGATTGATTTTGGATCAGAACGGTGTTGGCCCAGTGGGAAGAGGAGGAGTGTGAACCATAGGGTGGGGCTTTCCATGAGGAACCAGGCTAGTGGTGGGGGGATGGTGGGACCCCATCCCTTCCGGTGGTGCTTGCCGTAAGGGGCGGTCGTGAACTGGCAGGAGATGAAGGTGGGTGGTGCGATGAGGAAGTAGGAGATAACGGAGTAATGGAAGAAAGCTTGATCGGAAGGCATCTCTGCAGAAGGATCTACTGTGATCCTTAAGAAATTGGGGTTAAATGCATCATCTCCGATTCCGAAAAGCAAACTTCGTTTAAAAATGGTGGACACCGATGTGAAAACCAATATATCCTTATTATATGGTTAAGGTAATGGTTCTTTTTTTTTATTTAGTAATTTAGTAAAAAAAATTAATATCATTATAGAAGTCGTTTAACAGCAATAGATGATTTACAGGTTTTGAAATCAGAATATAATTTTTTCGAAAAAAGAAATCAGAATATAATAGATAATGACAATTTTAATTTTATTTCCATCGAATTGATAACTTAAAATGGAATATTATATTAAAAAGATACAATTCATTCGTAATTTAATGTTTCTTATAAGGTTATATAATCCAAAATTAACGATATAATCAAAGCTAGTTTATAATTGTGTTAAAAAAACTAAAACTGATACACAATCAAAACTAGATTTTGTTAATTAAAGGATTATATCATTATATATGTTGAAACTGTACCAGTTTATGGCAATGATAAATACATTGTGTGTGATTTTAAAATTTAAATAGTTTTTTTTATTATAATATTATAATAGAAGATATGAAAATAGGAAATATGTTGTCATTCTTGTATTTAATCCTGTATAACTACTTGAGACTATAATAATCGATTTTGTTATTTACTAGTAACTAGGGAAGAAACCCTGTAAAGCAGTGCAAAATGGTCAAAGTTGAATGGGATAGGAGAAAGCCATCTGTTGAATTAAAAATTACTATTTATGTGAGGGAATGATCATTTCATCCTGCTGTTTAGTGTAAATGACCGTTTTACATGATTAAAAATTTGTTCCTTTGTAGCTTAACCAAATATTCAACTCATTTGCTAAAATGTGACAAACTGACAATAGAATATATGTAAACACAATTTAGAGTTTTGTGTTTTTACTCTTATTTTATACATCAGTGAATTAGTTAAAAGAGTGACATAGGATGAAATAAACAGCAGCAAGGAATTTATATTGAAGTCAATCTCGCAGCTGAACAGCCTTACAAAATGGCCTTTCATAAAATTAAAATCTACATTAGTCAGTTATAATGAAAGGAGTTATCATTTCAGCTCAATCATCAGTCATCACAAATGAATGATGAATCTTTTAAATCATTGATGAACTTACATTCCCCAATAACCTTGTCCACTTTTTGTCTCTTCCAAATGAAAATCTCGTAAACTCTTTGAACAAAAATTTCGTGTAAGTTACATTTTGGTCCCTAATATATAGTCTATTGATTTAATTGTGGCCCCAAAAAGTTATTACTTGCAATTTTCGTTCTTATGTAAAGTTCTTGCAGCATTTTCGGTACCTGTTCCAAGTTAAATTACTCTATTTGGGCTCAAAGTATACTTAACTTCTGCAATTTTGATCCCAAAAACAGTCATTTTTACGTAAATTACTCTATTTGGGCTCAAAGTATACTTAACTACACCATTTATAATGTTGTTAGAGTTTTTTTAAATATAATATTATAATAGAAATGAAAATACGTAACATGTTATCATTCTTGTATTAATCCTGTACAGCTACTTGAGACTATAATAATCGACTTTGTTTTTTACTAATTCAGATAATCATGTAAGCAATTAAGAATAAGAAAAGTGATTATTAAGATAAAATTTAAATTATCTACCAAGTTATTGAATTTAAATACCAAGTTATTGAATTTAAATAAAATTTAAATTATTTACTTAGTTATTGAATTTCAATGTGAGGTTAGATATTTTTGAAGACATATTTGGAATGAAAAGGGATGTCGTTTAACTCTTTTTTGTGTAATTTTAACTAGATTATGACCCGCATTAAACGCGGTGGAACGCATAAAGAAAAAATAAGTGTATATAGATATTGCAAAATAATTATAAAAAATCAAGGTTATTAGTATTATTGAAATGTGTAGAAAATATACTGAAGTTGGTAAAAATATATATAGTCGTTGAAGGACATTTTCGTAGACATATTTTTTGTTTTATTAATTGAACAATATTGCTCGTCACAAAGTACCTTCAAACATTTTTTACTCGTGACATTGGAAACAGCTATATATAGCTAACCATGCGTGAATCGATAGTCTACAATAATAATAATAATAAAATGAAACCCTGTTAGTTAAATGTTGTTCTGAGCAGTGCAAGTTTAGGATGTGGGTTTCTTGGATGAGTGAGGAAAAGTCTTTCCAGATAAAGAGTCTTATAAATGAGCATAATTGTGCAAGAAACTTCAAGTTAGGTTCAATTGTCAATTATTCATGGATAGGTACCCATTACACAACACAATTCTTATAGAAACAAAAGGTTAGTGTGAGGCTACTTGGGGATGAGGTTAAAGAGAAATTTGGTATAGATGTGAGTATAGGACATTGTAGAAGAGCAAAGAAGTATGCAATTGAACTGATTGAAGGAACATTAGTGGAGCATTATGCAAAGTTGTGGTCATATGGTGAGGAGATTAGAAGATCAAATTCAGGATCAATAGTCAAAATTGATGTCAATTCTATGCCAGATGGTAAGAATTATTTTAGCAAACTTTATTTGTGTTTTGAAAGGCTTAAGCAAGGGTGGAGAGGGCGTTATGGAAGGGTTATAAATTTAGATGGATGTTTCTTAAAGGGCTTACGTAGTGGTGAGCTCATATCTGTTGTAGGAAGAGATGCCAATAATCACATATTTTCAATTGCATGGGCAGTTGTCTGTGTAGAGAACAAAGAAAATTGGAAATGGTTTTTGGAAAACCTTAGATATGACTTGCAACCGAATGATGGTTTTGGTATAACATTAATGTCATATCAACATAAGGTTAGTAGTTTTACTTCCTAATTTAATAAATTCTAGTTTCATACCCTTTATATAATCTGTTACCATGGTTGCACAGGGGTTGTTAGAGGTTGTGAACGAAATACTGCCTATTGCTGAACATAGGCAGTGTGCAAGGCATATTTTTGCCAACTTTAGGAAAAGATTCAGTGGTGTGCATTATGAAAACATGTTTTGGAAGGCAAGCAAGGCATCCACTGAGCCTTTATTTAATGTTGCCATGAAGGAGATTGAAGGGCTTAACCCTGTAGCCTTTGCTTATCTTATGGACACCAACCCCAAATCTTGGAGTAGAGCATTTTTTTCAAAAGGGGAAGATGTGTGATGCATTGGAGAATGTGTTATCTAAGAGCTTCACCAGTGTGATAAGAGATGCTAGGAAAAAGCCAATCATCACCATGTTAGAGGAGATTGGTGATGGGTCTTATACAAACAATCCTATGTGTGCATGCAACCCTAGTATTGGATCTATGTTTTCACTATTAGTTATACAACTTTATGAACACAAAAAGAAACCTGGCATGCTACTATAATTTTCGAAATTCATATATAAAACTATAATACATACCTTTTGTTGTTATATAGCAATAACAACTTGTTCCTTGAATTTCCTTAGCTCTTGAAAGCAAGTACCACAAGTGTAGTACCTCTAATGGAGTCACAAACACCATATGCAACTTGGATGAAGAGGAGAAGAAAAAGAGGCACCAAAAACGGCTGGAAACCCTAATGAAAGTGTTGTCCACGTTTTTGGAGCCTAAGGGGTCCATTATATACTTGTGTGGGCTGCTAGGGTTTCAGTCAAAACCCTAATGGACAGCTTAAACTCTAAGCAGCCCATGGAACCTTCTGGATAAGGCTATGGACGAAAATATGATGGGCTTCCATCATAATTTCGTTCACCCCTTACTCCTTTAGCATTCCTTAGCCCAATAACTCAATTATCCAATAATTGCAGTCCAGTCCCCTAAGTTTAATTAATCTCTTTTAGCCACAAAATTAATTAACAATTAATTCTTGACTAATATTAATTAAACAATATGATTTCTCCTTTAATATATTATTCTCATAATATATTAATAAATCATATTTAAACCTTTCTCTCCTTAAATCATCCTACATATTGCTATGGTGAAGGCAACCCAAAAGGACCATGCTCATAATCGGGTCAAGTACATACCAAAATAGTTATGGACTTAGACACTAATCCAACAGTCTCCCACTTGGATAAGTCTAATAACTATTTTCCGTATGACTTCAGAACCTGATCAGCAATCTTAGCTTTCAAAAGCTGTTGTCAACTCTGATCTTATCAGATAGTGTGTCCTCTAGATAAGGGATTATATATTCCTCCATTCTCAAGATATCGTATAGACATAAGACATGAATTTCAATCATTCTCTCTATATTGTTTCCCGACTTCCGATTTATGACGACTGACAAAAGACTACAATTGAACACATCAACTTAGTCCCGGCTTGGCCAAGCGCTTAGGTGTCATCACTAAATCATCGAGAGGCCCACATATATCGCTTTTATCCCACTTTGGGTAAAAGGAATGGATAAACTTTGACTCAAATGCTCGCTTGCATTTACTGATCGAATCACACACAACAATAAGTTTTATAACACCAAGTTACTGGTGCGTTTACTTATTATCAATGTGCAACTGACCAACAAATAACAACTCACATGTCTCGGTTTCAAGAATATACAATATTATCGTCTCACTAATCACTCGTGATAAAACCATGAAGTGATCCAAGTGAGCGTGGGTTTAATCCAATACTTTAATCTTATCAAAGCACTCACGAACTCTGCAGCAAACTTGTGCCATGTCTAAACACTTCAGACAATCTACAGACAGATTCATGACAGTCTTTATTCATACCTACTCCCAACGTATGACCAACTGTGGATGTTTGAATAACCTAGTTATTCTGGAAGTCAAAACATGCAAATTGAAACATAACAACAATACTTAATCCTATATGGCCCCAAACTTGTGAGAGTAAATAAAACCCTTCTATTTATCCACCATATTGATTACTCATTATTTATCATTTAATGTTTCGGATAATCAACTCATTGCTTGAATTACAACAACAATTGTCCCATGCTCTAAGCATGCACACCGTGTTTCCTATGGTCCATGCTTTGTGAAATAGATCAATTGAACACATTTCCAATCATTCTCATTTCACAACTCCAAATCCATTTTCATAAGTGTAAGAATATCAAATTCTCGCTACTTATAGAATATGCTAGATCTTAACACTTTATGCAACGATCCCTTCATAATGTCATTGCACTATTGCCAATGATATTACAAAGTCTTCTATCGGAGATTGTTACAAGACAATTCCTTAGATATGATGTCTCTCACTCAAAGTACATTCCTTTGAACATCCTTTTGCATAAAAGTTTCTAATCTAGATTTTCAATATTTACTTCCTAATATGAACACGCTTCCATATTACCCTCATGACAACCCATTCTTAATAGAATCTTTTCTATTTGTAATGATGTCGATATGGTCCATCCAATATGGAAACATTTCCATATTTTTCAATACTATACTTCCAACTACTCACAAGCGACCAATCCTCGTCGAACTTTGGATTGTCCTTTGATAGTTGTTTAATTATTTTAGTCAAAACCAATTCTAGTCCCTTTTTCCCTCTAAATGCGCTAGACATTTGGAAAATTTTAGAATGGTAAAATACTATAGCATTTGCAATCGATCCTATACCCGAAGCGTATGGGACACGATGCATAATGTCCTACATAAAGATATGATACTTTACCAATCTTTTGCCATAATATTTTATGTGTCATGTTCTCATAATTCGAACTATGAAGAGGGATGCCGTAATCATAATCGTTTTAAGAACACACAATGTATCCTTTGACTGAAAATATTAAAATTTCTTAATCTAAGCTTTAGATTTTGAAACGGAGTATAATATTCTCTCCCTTAATTATAGCAAAACAACTTTTCAACCCATGCAACTTTGCAAATTGAATCTTTGTTTTTCTATAATTAATATTGCTAACTTGCAATACTTTCCATAATAATCATACAATCATAACTTTTATGCTCCCACTATCATGATGATTACTATAAAACATAACACTTATGCTCCCACTAGCTTCGACATGTATTCATAAACATCTTAACTTTCAGAAAGACAATAACTATTGAATTTCTTAAGTCCATG